AATATATTGTAACAACTTGGTATGGTGATAGCTGGTACCTAGAATTATCATGTATATAAATGTTAAATCACTGTGTTGTACACCTGAAACTAATGTAATACTGTGTGTCAACTACCCTTCAATAAAAAATACTTATCTAAAAAAAAAAAAAATTGAAATGTACTCAGGGCCATAGTATAGGAGGACTCTTTCAACAGGGCAAGAAACATGGGCTGCTAAGTACTCCATCCTTCTAGCCAAATGCCTTTCTTCTAAATAGGTCAATGTGTTAATGCTGGTTACTTAATATCGATATAGGTAACAGTCTGAAAACTGAACAGACCCACAAGTAAAACAATAATGTTAGAGGAAAACAGATTGTCTTTCATTGGTTTTAGTCTTACAGTGATATTTGTCTATGTTTTCTAGGTAAACTATTTTATAACTTGCCAGGTTCCATACAACTTTTCCATCTTATCCTAAAATCAAATTCACAAAGCAGGTGCTTTTGTACAATGTAGCTAGAAAAATATTAAAATGTTTCATAAACTACCGGGTGAAGTAGTGTTGATATGCCTCAAAGATATGGATTGCATATAAACTCCAGGATACCTCATCCTCTCTAGGTTTAGCTACTCACACGTGTGACCCAATCATTCTCCACTTGACAAGAATCCATGCCATGTTTAAATTCTCCAGACTTCTTTGTCTTATTGTACTATAAGATTAGTATAGAATTTTAGTATTTAACTTTATAGTATTATAATGTTTATAATATTTAGATTATAAGTATATAATCTTACAGTCTTCTAATGCTTAGTAACCTTAGAGGAAACAAGGCTTTGCCGGAGATAGAGCAACACAATCTGATACGGACACGTCAGAATTCACTCTTGGAGAAAAATAAAGTCAAGAGAGGTGGGAAAAGGCATTCTGGTGAGGTGGCCAGTTGTAGCTTTCTTCAGAACCTTTTTATTATCAACTTATAGGAAAAAAGGTGGGAGTTATAGGGTGCTGTTTTGGAAAATGTTTTTCAAAGGTGGTAGAAATTCTATTTCATTAACATTTTTTTCATGAATTTCTCAAATATAATGCATAAAATAAGTATTTGTTGTAAGCATTTTGATGGATTGAAGGGTTTATCTGAGAAAGAGAAGAAATACTTCAATAAACCTCATTTTATTTCTTTCTAGAAGTGACAGAAGAAGCAATCTCCTAATTGTCTTTGGAAAGACTAAACTGATCTCACAGACTTACAGCATCCTTGAGCTGGAAGCTCTTAAACTCCTTGTTCTACACATGAGGTAAGTGAGGCCTAGGAGTCATGTGAATAGCCATTCAGAAGCAAAGACCAAACCAGGCCTGGTACCGTATGACAGTCAGTCAATAATGATTTCAAGCCAACAAGGACTGTATGGGAAAAATACAGAAAAATAAAATTCACCCTCAGAGATGTAAATACAAAATTGAGTTGGTAAAGTTTTCTCATCACTAACGGATTAAGGAAAATATTTTCAAATCATCCTTCCTGGTCTTTCTCTTTTCCTTCTTGTTCCCACTGTTAATTAAGGGGTAATGATAAAGTCTCATTTTAAAAGAAGTATATACAATCTATAGAAATGTTTGTTGTCATAATGTGGCACTTGTAGTTAACAACCCAGAAACCACCTTGCCTGGGAGCTATTTCCTCCAAAGTCGGTACATATGAGCAATTCTAGTGAGTTCCTCAAAGGTCCCATCAGGAAGTTTAGGTGAGTCACTTGGTTACAAATAAATTCAGAGATAAATGCACACACAGGTCCCTGGTGTCATGTAGCTTACATTCTTATCTGAGGAGATTTAAAAAAAAAACCAAAACAACAAATAGACAAGAAGTAGATGATGATCCATACTAAAGAGGACAGTACGGCTGAGGGGTTACAGTACTTCACTGGAGGAGAGGTCTTTCTGAGGTGAAAGGTGAGAGGGTATCCACACAGAAGGAGCAGCCGCACACAGGTTCTAAGCAGGATCAAGGCTGCTGTGTTTGAGAAACAAGCACAGTCAATGAGACATGAGTGTGATGGGCAAGGGCGAGAGTGCTAGGGAAGTAAAAGGGACTTGAAAATAGTGGATATGGAGATACAATTCTTTAAGTAGGACATCTGGGAAGTGCTGAATGCCCTTTTAAATTTAAGGTTTTAAATTTGAATTTAAAAACAAAAACAAGATGAGATCAGTTACGTGTTTCTTTCTGGCAAATCTGGAGATCTGGGGAAAATGGCTGTTGGGGGCTCTGTGAGAGAGAATTCAAAGTTTTCTTCAGCCAATCTTTTTCTAAAGCTTATACCCTACTACTGTGTATGCTATTAAATGCACTTAAATAGAGTCTCTGCTTCTAGGAAGCACACAAATAAATTAAATACTCTCCTGATAAATATTACTGATCAAGCACTGTGGGAGAACTCAAATTTCCAAAATTCCCTAAGAGAATGTCTGAGTTATAACACGAATTATTTTCAGAACCAAGAAAATAACCATGGACTTAAACTAATACTATCCACAGTGTAAACTGTCCAGAGTGGAGAAGGTCAGGGAGGTTCTGTTATGTCTCCCTAAGACAGCATTTCCCTTGCTGATCACAGGACTCTCAGCTCTCATTCACCCCGTCACTTGCTCACTCAACACATATTCATTGGGCATCTACGGTCTAGGTCTATAATGGTAAACGAAGCAAATATGGTTCCTGTACTTACGAAGCTTACAGTCTCACAGGGAAGGCAAACATTTCACAAGCAAATGGAAGATAAGTATATATTGGGACAAAGGCCAGGAAAGGAATCAAACAAGGGGCAGCGATACAGGCTAAACGGGAAGCATACTTCAAATAGGTGGTTCAGAGGAGGTATGAATCAGAGATCAAAGGAGCAGTGAACTAGGGTGGGAGGGTGGGTGGAAGGACATTCTAAATAGAAAAATTAAGCAGGAATCGAGAAAGAGCCAGGAAGGCTGGAGTGTAAACAATACGGCACAGAGAGGTTAGACACATAGACAGGGGACGTGATATTTTTTAGGGTACCTGTGACATGAGCAGCGCTAGGGGAGAGATCTTTTTTCAAGTATCATTTCTATAGTTAATTAAATGGCATTCCTTGAGTGCTTTTAAATCCTCCCCTTTTATTGTCAATTTAGTCCCTTTTCTAAGTATTAAAATTTTAAAAAATTACTGCACGTATGGTGGATGTTGTGATGTGTCACCCCAAAGTATCTCTTCAGGAATGAGGTGCTTAGTCCCACGTTTGTAGGGCCTGTTGGTTGACTGAAAGACCTTAGCTGAGTTCCTCTCTGGGAATTGCTGCTGAGAGAGTCAACTCACCCCAAGATGGACCTCCCAGGGGAAGTGAGAGGGAAGCCAGCACTGCGTGGCCAGTGCAAGAGCGTGAAGACCAGGCGCTCTTGTCTGAGGCAGGACAGCCCTGAGGGACCATCCCAGCCGAGGCCCGGGCTAGGACTGTGCCGTCCTAACTCTTCCCTCATTCCTGTCCTACTTTCTTCATGCTGGATCTAAGGATGCTCCCCCAGCAAACTTCCTGCATGGAGACCTCTGCCTCGGGGTCTATTTCCCGGAGAACCCAACCTAAGAGAGCATGTAAATATTACGTGTCTATACGTACCTCATTTTTTACAATTAATATTTCAAAGACTTGCTTCTTTAGTATTTGGAGATGATTAATATTTCAAAGAGCTGCTTCTTTAGTATTTGGAGATAAGATGATTTTAGGAGCCACAGAGTACTTACCTGTGTGAGGCTTTATGACGACAAAACTGCACATGCAGCCATATTTCATTTAATCCTCACAACAGCCCTTTATAATAGGTACTATTATACAATTTGCTAAATTAGGAACCTGGAGCTAGGGAAATTGAGTTGGCCAAGGTCACATAGAAAATAAAAGGTAGAACTAAGAATTAGAGTCTAGCGCGCTTAGACTCTTAATATTCTCTTTTCTTCAGCCTTGCTCATATTAGCAGCACATTAAATGCTGCACTCCAGTACTGTAGCTATCTATGATTCAAAGAAAAACAGCGTTGTTGTTGAATTTGTATGCTTGTAATTAAATGATATGCTTATTATTAACCTGTCATAAGGAGTTAAAAAAGAAGAAATTCTTCTTCTGGTAAATTCAGTAAGAATGCTAAAGGAAACTATACTTTCTAAGGTCTAATGTTAAGGGCTAGTAGGAGTAAATGTTTATTTTATCAGTTACATGGCCACAAATACACTGGTATTGGAGAAATGTATGAAGAAGCCAGCCCAAGGGAGAGGCTTGTTCCCAACCATGCTGAGCTCATTCTCTCCGAAATGCTGAGACCTTACTGGAAGCAGCTGAATCAGGTAATGATTCCCTAGACGTTTTCAAGCTAGCCACATAGCTACAAAAAAGGGATAATAAATTTTAAAAATCAAGAGTCTGTACATATAGCTATCTGCAGGGCAGACTGATATTAATTAAAAAAATAAAATACAAGAATACTGTGATTGATGAAGCCTTGTGTTTCACAGCCTTACATTTTTATTTAACTTGTTCCTTCCTCTGAGTACCTTTTCTCTCAACTGTCCTGGCATTACATAAGAATTCATAATTGTGTCTATAAAGACCAGAGCGGATAGAATTGGAACCCTTACCTGTCCAATAATGAGAGGAACCACAACAGTCATAAAAAGCTGAGAAAAAATAGATGTAAAAGGCACAGAAGAGGACGAGCCAAGCTGGAAAACAATAATATAAAAGGCATTAGAATTACTTTGAATCAGTTACCAAATATTTCTGTCAATTAAATAATGCAAGAAATGAATCCTCTCACATGCACCAAGAGTTTGGTAGCTATATATATTCAAAAAACGAGTGAAGTTACTTGAAATTTTCTAAATTTAACACAAAATAGACTGCTAAGTACTTTAATATGTAATTTTTATTGGGAAACTAAGATTGAGGAAAAACAATAACTACTGTTTTGCAATTAACTTTAATTGTTTATTATTAAATACTTTTCTGGATAGTCAAGTCATTCTGTGTTCACACTCTCCATAATCATGACATATTTTACTTATAATCACAGTTAATTAACTGTTAAATTAATAGTTAATTTCTATTTCATCAAACTTTCAGATACCTAAAGGAAAAAAGAGGTAAGTCTCATTTTTCTCTTATCAATAAAATGTTTTATTTATGCAAATGAAATAGTTTTTAACTTTCCCACCCTTTAAAAACAAAGGCAACGCTTCTCATATCCTTTATTTGTTCTTACACAAAATCTAGGATATGAGAAGTCCTGAAACATAACTTACTTTTCCATTTAAAATTTCAATGTGTATTTCCTATATTTGTATGTCTTAACACTGTTTATAATCCTTATTTTTTTTTCTCCCTTCTTATTTTTGGCTCTTTTTTTCCTAATGATTGCAATCTCAGCTTCATAAAGATCCTATAGCCAGCAGCAAAAGACAGTGTTTATCTATGAATACGCACTCATATTAGCCTCAATCACCAAGAATTGCTGTCTTCCTACAAACTTTCTAATAGTTTTCAAAATCTCCTTCTGGTTTCCACACCTCTGAGGACAAACCATAGCCTGTTCCATACATGTTAATATCTTTTATGAGTACCTTTTGCAACCAGGTTCTCCCAAACCACCAACAATGAACCCCCTGTCTTGGAACTTACTTTTAACCTTGCCCCTGCAGACCAAACCTCAATTTTCATGTTTACCTAAGTTTAGTTAAACTTGGAAGGAACTTTTGGAAAGTAAGTTTTGTGAAAGACATTAAGGCACTAATGACTGAGGGCACAGAATGTTAAACAAAACAAATCAAATATTAAGATTAGGGTTAATAGCTCAGAATGAAATGATGCAGGATCAGTGTTTTCACAGATTGCTGACTTCTGCATGAAATAACTTACCGAAATCTTTTCTACACCTTGGTGTGTTTTATCAAATTCTGCAGCCCCAAAGTACATGCACTCAAAATGCCAAGAATGTATGTCTTCCCCATCACTGGCCTGCATTCATGTGTTGTTAGCTTCAGCACTGACCACTGGCAGTCAGTTTAACATACAATTGTACCCTTTAGCATTTTCCTCCATGACCCATATAAACTAAAGAAATGAAGGACAAGCAGAAAAAGTGAAGAACACTTAGGACTCCTGGTCTGTGAAATGTTACATGGCTTTAGATATTCCTTTTCATGCAAGCCAAAGTACTAATTACACCCTATAATAGAGCAACTATACCCTTGAAGCACAAGGTATATAATAAGTATAGTCTCTCCATAAATATTACCCTGAGGATGTCCTAGGGGCAAGGGTTAAAAAAAGAAAAATGATCTTTTACAGAGAAATTGAGGCACTGGATGAATAGAAAAATAAACTTTGAAGAACAGAGTTTTCATGTTCAAAAACCATCCAGCTCAGTGGTCTAGCCGCACAGTTCACAATGTTTGGAGAGAGGCAGCACTATTCAGGGTGATAACGCTCAGGCAGAGGGTGTCAATTCTTGCCAGGAATAGCCTGGGTGATCTCACTTTTCCTTGTTCCTCCTTCTATCTCAACTTGATTTAAAGTTATTTAACATGTCTTTAAAAATGTTTTAATGAATAACTGTATCAAGCTATATTCCTCCCACATATGCAGTGCTTAACCCAGGACCTGGCAGATGAATGAACCTGTGCAGAGCAAACAAATGAAATAATTTGTAAATATGAAGTACTAAAAAAGTGACAAACTCTTATTCAAAAATCATATCCCTCTATTTTCTAAAATTAAAAAAACACAAAACTTAAGTTTATCTAAAAACTTATTATCATGTGGTATTGTCATTCACTCACTTGGTATTATTTTTTTCACTGCTGGTTTGTCACTAACAGTTAATTCTAATGTGCACTTAGAAACAAAGAGCAACTGTGCACGCCAAGAACCACGGTAAGAAAGGACCTCCGATACCTTCATTATGATATCAAACTGGCTGTGCTTCTCAAACACATTCAAGAAATTTTTCATCCAAATCTGCTCTGTGATAATAGTCCTCCTCCACTGGGAAGGCTTGTTTATTTAACCAAAAAGTGTTACTGCAGAGCAGTAAACCCAGAGATCAAATGGAGAGAAAAGTTAAAACACCATTTATTAAGTTAATTTTGAGGGTTATTTTTAATCCCAATTCTATCTAGAAGACTGAATATAGGCATAAGAGAAGCAAATGAAAACTCATTTCAACCATCGTGTTAAAGGATATTATCTATTTTAATTTCCCCATCCATCATATAATAGATCATTTGGATGTTCAATGTTTGGAAGCCTCATGTTCCTAGAAGGGCTTCTAGGGCTATGGGCTGAGGGGGAGATTGTCCACAATCTCCAAGATCCCTTTGTCCTTTAAAACACCTATGATGTCTGATCCACTTACAGGGACACAGGGCAGAGCAGCCCTCCTCTGAGGCTTTGTCAGATCAGGGCCAAAGCAAGGTAGCCAGGGATGTAATTAACTGGGTACATGGAGCCAGAATAGGTGCCAGGGATGCTGGGGAGGAATTCCCACAGGATGGCTCCCTTAGAAGTAGCTCTGAAAGGAAGGAAACCTCAGTACTGTGGTCTAACTTGGCACAGGTCCTTTCTTTTGAATCCATCACCAGACCTGTTGCTATGGTCAGTGTGAAGTAGCAGAGGTACCTATGGGGAAGTTTCTGATGCTATGAAGTATGCCCTGGCATCCAGAATAAAGAAGAGCGAACATCTGGCATAGGTTAACATGAGAACATGACTTGAAAACTACAAGACTTGATCATTTTGTATGCAGAGTTGATTGTAACTAAAGCAGAAGGAAATATGCTGCCTGGGATATTTGGTTCTTCACATTTTAATGAGGAACCTGTCATGGTTTCTGTTATAAAGACCAATGTGATAATAAGAAGCATCAGTAATTTGCACATTTGGATGAAGTTGCATATTCAGGATAAATTTGTATCTTATCCTGTATCTATTCAGGATAACCAAGGGCTCTGGGCTTCACGGAGCTACCCAGAGATTTAAAGGTAATATGCCTCATACTGCCAACCCACGGTTTAAGATATAGCATGCTGAACAAATAATCCATTCATTGGCTAATTTCTAATAGGAATGTAGTACTTTAAAACAGAGAGCTCACAATTCTGTTTATTTGTTTTAATATTGTGTGAGAAGAAATGTTTCAGTGAAAATTAAGCATGTGGGAACTTAGGACCTTCATATTTGTGTGGAAAATGGAATTTCCAATGGCCAGGATCCTCTCCTGACCCCTAAACTACTTGATGATGTAATTGGCTTACTGCTAGGCTAATGTTTCCACACCCATAGGCTGTAAGATATTATAGACTGAGTCACTATATAAAGAGCTCTGCCCAGTTCTCTGGTGGGGGCAGATCCTGCCAGGATTATGGACCTGAAGACTGCTGGATGCAGACAGAATCCTAGTGCTCGACCTACCACCATGAGAATAAAGCCAGGTATAAACGCTTTTATCCCAAGAATGTTCTGTTATTTCTCGGTCTCGCTGAATCCACAGTGAACTTGCCTAGGGCTGAAACCTTCAGGCAAGACATGTTCAATCATTCAAATAGTTACTGGTGCCTCCTGTGAGCTAGGGGCATGTTCTAAGCACCGAGGATCTGAAACACAAAGCCTTTTCCAAGAACTGCTTTTTAAAAGTTGAAATAGGTGATAGGCCCACTGTAGGGAGAACGGAAGTTCCCATGGCCAGGATCCTCACCTGACCCTAAACTACTTGATGATGTCACTGGCCTGCTGCTGGGCTACTGCTTCCACACCCGTAGGCAGTCAGCTATTATTGACTGTCACTCTCTAAAGAGCTCTGCCCAGTGCTCTGGGTGGAGGTAGATGAAGGAGGACTAAAGACCTGCAGACAGTTGGGTGCAGATGTAATTCTAGTACTTGACCTATCTCCGTGGGGAACGAGCTGGGTAATAAACCCTTTTATCCCAAGAATGTTCCATGGTCATTCCTCAGTCTCAATGAATCCATAGTGAATTTGCCCTGGGCTGAAACCCATTGGCAAGACATCCAGCTATCACCAAGTGAAAACATGCTCCTTTATATGGAATGTTCTCCCCACCCCACTCATATCTGGAAAAGTTCCAGTCTTTTTTCTAAGACTTAGTATTCAAGAATTACTTCTTTAGGAATTCTTTCCAAACCATCCTCCCCAAATGCAGACTTGGTTACCCCCTCTTTGGTGGCTCTGTGTTCCTATTGTACCTTACAGAGTTACTGGTTGCTCTTGTTTATAGACCTATCACTCCCAGTAGACTGTATGTTCCTCAAGGTCAAAGACAGGGTCTTATTCATATTTATATTCTCATTTGACCGCAAGTGTGACCACATCTAGGGTAGTATTCCTAAAACTTTGGCACATCAGAAACATCAGCAGCACTTGTTAAAACACAGACTGCTTGGCCCTGCCCTCAGAGTTTCTGATTCAGAGCACCTGGGGAGGATGGCGAGCATCTGCATTTCTAGAAAGGCCCCAGGTGATCCTGATGCTACACACTCTAAGAACCACTCATTTAGTCCATAGCAGATGCTTGACAATTGTGAGTTCAGTTAATGACTGCCCACAACACGTAGGTAGGACGAGAGGCTGGACAAGGTTTTCTTTTCTTTACATCCTTCCAAATACAAGTGACAAAACACTGCTTAATTGACAGACTCAAGAAAGGACCAG